GGGGGGGGGGGGGGGGCGGGGGCGGGTCACGATGTCATGAAAACCACCCGTGATGATCACAAGCTGAACTAAATCTCCAGTTTTTGAGCAACGTGATGATGTGCATTGTCAAACGTCTGCAAAGAAAGCGGAAAGAATTTTTCCGACGGGGGTGTGAACAAAGCAGTAGATGCTTACACACGCCGGGGCAGCCCGATGACTAGGAAGGGTGTTCGTGATTGTCATCGCGTCATGTAGGAGACCGACGTCTTCTCATTGGCCAGCCGGTAAGTGTAGCGGGGTCGACGCCGACTAAAGAAGCCACACACATGCACGCACCGCGTGTTTCGCGTTTGTGTCACTCTTTCACGCCTTACTGATACCGACGTTCGCTTTCTTCGGCCAGCAGGCTGCAGCGAAGTTGGTTGATGCCAACAAAGGAATCAAACAAACGCAAGGACGGAGAGTCGCCAACGCGAAAGATGATACCGCAAGGACGCGAGAAATCGCCCCGCCCCGCCCTCAGACCGATTCTCAAAGCTCGATTGCATCACAACCAAGATTGTCTGTACCGTACCGTATACCGTACCGTGGTATTCCGTAACAGGCGGAGACATGGCACCCCCCCTAGACCGATTTTCCAAGCTCGATTATTCCACAACCAAACCTGCACCACCAGCAAAAATGGTGGTTTTTGGAATCATCTCGTCGCTGGCTTTTCCGTAGATGTATCGGGCTATTTCCACACACACTTGCTTGTGGAGCAATCGAGTCGTTCTGGCGGGGTTGCTGCCATCTCTCGCCTCCTTACGGTAACACCCAACCACAGCACCAGCGCAACTCCGACCCCCCCCCCCCCCCCACCTGTCGGGCAACCTTGTCCAGCAGCCCCTCCACGTCGCGCTCCGCAGCCCCGAGAGACTCCGCCGTTTGCGCCGCCTCCGATAGCAGGGCCCCCTCCGTGGACGCCTGCTCCGCCACGACTCCCCTAGTGGCCGCGAGCTCCACCTTGGTAGCCTGAGCGGGGGAGAAGTTCAGCGTGCAGACAAGAGCGAGAGGGCGCGACGTTAGGTTAGGGGTATTGTTCAGGCGACTGCAGGTGTGGCAAGTGTTTACGGACGTCGCAACTCAACGACAAGGAAGATAAGAAAACTCCAAGTGTGGCGAGTGTTTACGGACAACGAAAAAGGCAAACGAAAGCAAGAAAACAGTTGGATAACAATCAAGGCCGGCAAATGATCACGGGATGTCAGAACAGAAAGGCGGGCGGGAAAATCGCCAGATCCGAAGCCGTTGTGGTTTTATCCAAGTACGGTGAGCGGCAGAGACCTGCAGTTCCTTCTCGGTAGACGCTAGCTTCGTTTGCAGCTCCGCCGCCTGGACCCTTGACGCAGCCAGTTCCGCTTCCGTGCGCTGCAAGAGTTGCCCCGCCGCCAACACGCAGGAAACACAATAGTCAACATCACAGGCTTGTAAGAATAGAATGGACACAAAGAAAAGGAGAAAGGAGGAAAACACGGGGGAACAAAAAAAAGACAAAAATGACAAGTGTTCGGGGCGACACAACTGCTACAGATGCGGCGAAACAGACGTGGTACGGCCATGAAAAACCGAAATCGGTATATATCCATGTGTACGACGATGCTTTGCTGCATGCCAGTAATGAGCGTTGGAGATGTTCCGCGAGGGGGAACCACAGAGCTGTTCCGCCGAAACGCGAAAAGTTGGCATCTTTACCGCAGGTCACCGCAAAGATCAACCTTCTTGAACACACTCTTGCAACAGACGGGCCGAGGGGCGGGCGGAAGACGGAAAAAAACCACAGCACCTGCTTGGCAAACACGAACAAAAACACGATCTACGGACGGTGGTGGCCAACATCATCCTTTCTCGAGTCTCCCCTAGGAAAGAGATGCTCGCATTGCTTCGACGATCGGACAAGCTGCCCGAAAACACAGACACAGCAGCTGCTCGCTGTGGCATTCATTATCCCGGACGGGTAGACTAGTCCTTCAATACTACCTCTATAATTCATTTTCTGAAAGGACGTCTTGTCGTACATAACACAAGACAGAACACGCGAAGGAGAGAAAGAAACCACGCGCAACACCGACGGCAATCGTTTCCATAGGAAAGACTCACCTCTAGGCGGCCCCGTGTCTCTTCGAGCGTGGCGGAGACAGCCTGCTCCCGGCCCTTAGAGGCCTCCAGTTCCTCCTCCAACTCCTGTCCCTTCGCCTTGAAGGCATCCCTCTCGGTCTGCGAAGCGAGGAAAAACACCAACAACAACCCACAACAGCCCATGCGCGTGTTCTTGCTGCTGGTGTTATACTATAGTATCACTAAGCCATTCCCTTATCAAAATCCAGAAATCTCCGCATCGATCCGAAAGATGGACTGACCATTCGATTTTGTGACACGCTCGGCCCGAACAGACTCGAAACCCGACTGCACACAAACCAGGGATCACCCCATTTGAACAGGAATCCATCGAGAATCACCATACAATGGCGCCAAAGGTCATCAACCATCTGGGATGCCAACGAACAGGCCACGGTTCTGCACAAGACCGTTCAGCGTGTAGCGTTGCCTTCGCCACGGGGCGTACGGTAGCGGTATGTATGCATCCAACTCTCTGCTCCAACTTGTCCAACAAGGGAGGAGCGGCGCGCAGAGCATGTAGGCAATCAATCTCCAATCTTCTGCCAAGGCCCGACGCCATCTCAAGGCCACCAGACGACCCGTCGTGTGTCCTCTCTATAACCTATAGCCCTCTCTCTGGCAAGCTATTAATAGCGCACCTTGAGCTCCTTGGTTTCGCTGTTGCGGCTGTGGAGAACGGCCTCCATCTCAGCGATCTGAACAGACCCCCCCCG